TATATTCGTCTAGCCTGCGTAAATTTTAAATAGTAAAATAGTAAGGATAAATGAAATAGCCTCGGGGGCTTTTGTAATCAGACACTTTAAGTTATATAAAATACGTTAACGCTAACGTAAGATTTGACAGCTGCGCATGCGCAGTTTCTTTTCACCAAAAGTAGCGTTATTTAGCGGGTCTGTGCGTGTACGTGGCGTGTACCTTATCCGTGAACGTTCGTTAAACCGAGTGGGCCCGAAAGCCAGATTGTCGGTGTCAATTTTGGCCGAATGTATTTTAACCTTAAAAAAAAGTTGTCATGTAATTCAAAATAATGAACATACAAAAAATTATTTCTAATTTGTCCTTTTCACAACAAAATTTAGAGGTTAGGTCATGATTGTGAGATATAACCTCAACGTTTACGTGAAAATTTAATTTAAATGATTTGTGAGCACCGACGGTCACTCGACGCTATAGTAAAAAATAGGGTTTACGTTTAAAGATTACGTTAATGTGTTTGGTCTAACTTAAAGTGTCTATTATCGGTACCTGCCGTATGATGCGCCATCTAGGTTCAGATACCTCTAATACCCCTAGGAATCGGGGCCCTTTGTAATTATCGGTACCTGCTGTAGGTTTTCGAGGCGTTTTGGAGATGGTTTCTCGCTGCGGGAAAACCCACGAAAATTTGAGGTTGGCCCGGACCAAAACCCCAAAATTTCAGATCAAAGACGCCGCCGATCTAGAGATTTTCCCACGGTATCGAAAAAGTTCCCAGGCTCAGGTGCCCCCGTTAGCTAGACCCTGTTTTTAGGCACGCCTTATTTGATGCAATTGGCGATGAAGTTCAATGAAACAACAATTTTTTGGTAAAATTTTATTCATTAAACCTTAAAATAATCACATTTGATTTTTCCTATAATTAGGGAGAACATTCTAGACAATAAAATCCCAAAAACTACAGCTATGGTTATTATACAGGTATAGATTAAGTGAATATATACATCAGGTCTCGAATCGGTTGAAGTGGAGTTTATAGTTTCGTTTCTACAGAGGATTTTGGAGATGGTTTCTTGCTGCGGACCAATTTCGATAGTTGTTCATTACCTGCTTTCTAAAATGCTGTTGTTCAGGAATTCCACACGCAATTTATACTGGTAGAATCTATTCCGCGATTCTGGAAGTACTGTCTGGAAAGTACGTGTACGATCGTTGTCTATGAGGCGGTAGTAAAGCGAAATCCATAAATCGTTGGAATAGCTATGTTTTCCACTGAGCCTTGACATTGACAGATGACTGACACTTAGGTTTGACATTAGTTGACAGATTATTGAAATTTGATTGACATTTGATTCCTCCGGAGGACGGAGGATGGTGAAACCCCATAATATATCTACTAGTTTGGTTTGATCTGAGTGGATAGTTTCGGAAAAATAAAACTTATCCAATCAAAAGCCAGGAATAATCAAAATCTGAATATTCTCTATCTGTATCTGTAAGTTTGGGAGGGTATGGTATGGTATGCTACAGCACTTAGGCAACATTAGACCCATTGTGCGCCTCCACAAGAGGAGAAGTCATCCTTAGCTCGTCAACCAGCCTAGCGATTCCACGTAGGCGATGACGTCGCCGAGGGTGGTGCCTCTGATCTCTTTTTGCGATGGGTATGATTGGCCTAATCTGGCTCTGCGTATTGGCGGAAGAGCAGTGCAGTCACAGAGAATGTGCTCTATCGTCTCGTTTTCTTGATGACAAGCCCTACACAAGGATGTGGTATTGAGATGCAACCTAAACAAATGTTTGTTTATTTTCTAGCTAGAGCATTGGAGCCCGATTGTCTTTGCTGTGATCATGTCCTATGATCCAGCTGACTACCACCATATTGTTGATCGACGCTTCAGTGAGTGTACGGCGCTAATGATGTACTATTTTTGACGTGAGTCGCGGTCTAGATAGCGCTAGAACTACTGTAACGCTCTTTTGTCGAAACAAAAGAATGTTCATAATTTGTGCTCGACTATTGCTCAGTGGTTTTTTAGCTTGGGGTGGTCCTTGGTGTTGGTACAGTAGAGAGAGGGCGCCACTAGTTTGTATAAATAATTTTGATTACCAAGGAGTAGCCAAACTAGGCACTATTCCATTAATTAGTTATTGTTTAAAAAGATAAATTCAAAAAAATCTGAAAAGGTAAAATAAATCCAAAATCCAATAGCTATCTGACATTCAACCCATTCAATAAAAAACACAAGCTTTGGAATTCTAAACACAATCATTTATTAATTAAATGTCATTAATAAAATTTGTGACAAGAAGGCGAACTGTTGTTCTATGGTTATGTCATTAAAAATTTGTGACAAGATGGCGAACTTTTTTTTTTTTTTTTGATTTAAAGAAAATTATTGTCTAGTATCCAAGTCTTTTTTTAAAAAAATCATTAAGCAGCTTTCTAAAAGCAAAACTTAATATAAGTATAATAAGATTGAAATTTAAAATTAATCAATAGATACCCATGATAAAATTTACCTAAGTATAAATGATGGAGTCACAATATCATTAACCTTTAATTTTTGACTCAAAGTCAATCAAATCAATAGAAAACAATTTATTCAATGCAGAAAGGTAATAAATAATCCTTAGGCAGTTATAAATATCAAAAACCTGCTACATGAAATTAAGGGTTCACGGTTTCCGGAAGAGCTCTTACCTTCTAACCTTTAAAGTTCAAAATAGGTAACCATAAAACTTAAATTTGACTACCTAAAGATTTTACATTAGTTCACCTTGTAAAACTACCACATTATTGATTTGAAATCAGAAGTTAAATCAACCTTTTAAAGATTAATGAACCCACTTATATTATATCGATCAGTACTCGATATAGAGGAAACAAAATTTATAATAATTGTAATAATGCATACTTATTGAAAATAAATAATTATTGAGAAAACAATAATAAAAGTAAAAATCTAATTATGATAATGATTAATTAATTGAATGGATAATTATATTTAATTTGTAGTTAGCTATTCTAGCTTAATACTACAATACGGTAAATGAGTCGGTAATTGATTTTATACAGTTATGAATTAGCTAATTAAGCTAATCGATAGTAAGCGATAAGGAATAGATAATAATAATTATTAACAGTAATTAATATTATAAAGATAATAATTAGCTAATAAAGGTAATCGATAGGGAGCGGTAGAAAAGAGATAATAGAGAGTTATTGGACGTGCTATAAGGACAAGCAGTATTTAAATTAGCCTTATTTTGACATCTACGCATGCGGATTTGGGTCGGAAAATAAGGATTTCCTTAATAAGGTTACTGCTTGTCTTTATTTGTGTATGGTTAGTGCGAGGCAGTAAACTTCCCTTATTTCAAATTTCTGACATTTTGGACGACTTTGACGTTTTGCTTTTCGACGATGACGTAATTTTACTTAGAAAATTTATTTTTTACAATAGTTATCCATTTTACTGTGGGTAACATCAAAAAATGAGTTTCAGCAGAAAATCAGAAACAAAAATAAACACTTCTTGAGGTTGAAATTTATAAACATAGCTATCAGCTGTCAAAATTATGAATACAAAATACGGTAAGACTAAACACCTAGTACAGTCCTCCAATAACTGTTATTTTCTTGGAGAAATAGTGCTGATGCACTAATAAAATAACGTAGATCCTTAATACTGCGAGGCAGTATTTAATAGTTCCAATAACTCTCTATTATCAAGAAACTGTAATTAATAAGGCACATAAACGGGACCCATAGGTAAGTAATTATACAAGCCTGGACGAAATCCTTGGAAATTTTCATAAATTTGAGATCCAGAAGCACTAAACTGGCGGAAGGCAATCTTCCAATGGTCAGGGATCAATTTCTTACAGGACACAACTTTCCTTGTAGAGGGGGCCCAGACTTACTTTGGAAATGCAGTACCGCATGGTCTCAAACTTGTCAAATTTCACCCAGAAGTGTAGGCGTGGATTTTTAAGACTCTCCCAAATTGCCTGAACGGATTGACGGAATATAAGAACTCATTTATCAAAGGGAAAAAGAGATTTACATACCTGTTTGGCCGATAATTTTCTCACTTTCAAAAATTTACACAAAAATCAACAATCTATTGATTTTTCAGGAAACGTTCCAGCTGGCACAATTACTCACTACTCTGGCTAGTTAAATTAATATAATTTTGGGCTCGATGGCCAAGAATGAAAACCAAAGTTTTTGGATTTTCCAGAGACGACCTTTTCAGTCTACCTATAAAATCGGAAAGAAAGTCAAAAGTATCAAACTGTGGTTGTGTCTTTCTTCCTCTGTCAAGCCTGTCGAAATTATAAAAATGACAGTGCTACGGGTTTTTCTTATGAAGATCCTTAGTTCGGTTCGGCGGGAGTGCGAATGGAGTCACTCGGAGTACCGGAGTGAGCAAATCGAAACCACCTTCCGATAATATAATTTTCGGTATTAGGTCAGGAAACTAGTCAGAGGAATGTTCTTGTGACATTTCAAATGTTACACTACTTGTCTGCAGTCTGTGTGGATATGCACGATCTTTTCAGTATATTGTTGCTGACTATAATTCGGCCACAATGATTATGCCAGTAATTTCCGTTTGGCCAAGGGCCAAGGGCTATAGCTAGGTTCAGTTTGAGAGCTTTGGAGTATACTGCGCATCCCGAGCCTGTTTGAGCTTCATGTCATTGGGACAAAAAAACGATATTTACATTTTTTGCCGTAGGTATTTACTTTTTTTAAAAGTTTCTTGACGCTTTGTTTGTCCCAGAATCGAAAGTGAGGTTATGTGTGTGGCATCAGCTTAATAACGAAAGATTATGCAAGTATCTAAAACTTTTGTATGGACCACTTTCAACATAACTTCAAAACATTTGGTTTGATGTTTATTTTTACCGAAAACCGCAATAGGTGAAACTATTTTTCAACCCTCGAACAAACCAAACAATTTCTCACTTCAAATTTAATGAAAATATAATCTACAAATAACAAAAATCATGTTGAAGGCTTTTCTTTAACTTCACTATGCTCCATAGGGTCAATTTCAGTATCAACTTTTTCTATACGTATAACTTCAATATCATCACCTTCATTTGTTTCACTGGTTTCTTCAGGTATAGCCTTATAAGCCCTTCGGCTAACTTCTTGTAGAGCCTCTTCAAAAATATATTTAAGTGAATAGTTGACTATGCTAGCATCTGTTGAAATTATTGAATCAGCTTTGTCGGGCATTGGAGCTTGAACTACTGGACTACTTGTATCGAAATCCACATGAGGTATGACTGTGTTGTAGTCAATTTTCACTTTTTTCGGATCTAATTCAGCACCGATGCTTAGTTTTGGTATTGGTTCTGTTTGTTCGTCTTCTTCAGGTTGAACAGCTTCTTCAACTTCTCCTGCGATAACATCAGTTGGCTGGACTTTATCTTCAATGACTTTTCTCATCATTTTACGTGAATAGTAGCTTTTGTAGGCTGCTTTGATTAAAGTAGCTGCCCTATTGGCTTCTTCATTAGTAACTCCAGTTTTTCTGTAAAGCTTAATCGCGCTTCTTGCTGCTACACGCCAATCTACTAGACCAGATAAAATTTCTTTTTCTCGATCTTTTCTTACTTTGAACCGGTGATACGCTTGTTGGATAACCGCAGCAGCCTTTTCTGCTTTTTCAGGTTCTAGGTTGAGCTCAAGCATTACATCTGCCACAATATGTTTGTCTTCGGCATCCTCATCTTCACATATTTGTTTCCCAAACTCTAAATCGATGCTTTTTTTGAAAGTTTTTTGAATTATTTCCACAATATTGTCGACTTCTTCGCGCGACATTCCAGTTTCTTCCAGCAAAGAAGCTGTTGTTGTTGCCACTTCCGTTAGAGTTTCGACCATTTTTAAAGCTACTCGGGCATTTTCTCTTGTAATTATTAAAGCGTCCAAATAATCGGCTATAAATGTGTACGTATCTGTTGGCTGGCTTCGTAGGACTTCTCTTGAAATGTCGGACATCAGTTCACGCAGTCCGTCCGGGATTACGTAAATGAAACGCGCACAATGTCTTTGAAGCATTGCGTCCATGATTGATAATATCTTTTGTATAATAATTGACAGAGTATATGTCACAGAATGACGATCACTACACTCTATTTTTTTCCCAAGATGATTTTGACATTGTGAACTTTGAAACTTAAAAAATACCGCATGGCTCTGATTGGTCGCAAAATGCCGTGTCCTTGCAGGTGAGGTATATTTTCACATGGTTGGAAAACAATACCTTCGTCATTCTTGGGAAAAAATACATTGTAGTTGAAAATAGAACTATCTACAAGTCCATGACAACATCGATACTTGAGTAATGAGATATAGTACTGTGGCTGATTCTTAACTTGAATGGTCTCAAAATTAATCAGTCAAACAGATCACATCCATTCATTTTCCAACTTATTTCTTTTCCTTTACAGAATTGAGGACATTTTTCATATGATTCAAAAACATAAGAACATAATTATAAACTCTAACCTGACAACCATTTTCCAGAAACCTACTACACTGTTGTCAGCAGCCCTTCAATAACTCCCGAATTCCCTGCTAGGCTGTTTCTGACAACCTCAATGCTGACAACACATAAAATAGGAATCTATTACAAGTTGGGACATAGAGATCTACTACAGTACAAAGCTCTTATTGATTGGAAGAACCCTCAAATCAATGCCAACTGAATTAAATAAACAAAAAACATACTGTCACAACCGCTTTACGTTTCGTCCTGGGACGTCGCAACAAAAACGTGACCTGGGGGCGTGGGTGGGGTTCAAGTAGAGAGAAACTCGCTTGGTATAGGTATAATAAGATAATGTATTGAATAATAATAATATTACCCTAGAAATAGTATCATGACATCTCTTCTACGGAGGGACGTGCTACTTATAGGCGACTCTGTATTATGTACACTTGGCGTGACTGAAGAACTGAAGCTGGGTTTGAGGCAGGTCCAGAAGGGCGTTTACCAATAAAGGCAGTTTGCACTGGACATAGTCTGCTGCGTTCAATGTTCCCAGAAGAAGCTAGGTTTGAGACAGGTCCAGAAGGGCGTTTCCCATTAAAGGTAGTTTGCACTGGACCAAGTCAGATGCCTTTAATACTTCTAGAAGGGCTTTTCTCATTAAAGGTAGTTTGCACTGGGAGAAGACTAAGGCTAGTGCAAAGTACCTCATATGGGAAAAGCCCCTCTAGCTAAGTCTCCTCCCAGTGAAAACTACCTTTAATCGGAAATGCTCTTTTGCATAGGCGCCGGAACCATGAGGGTAATGGGGACTTGAGCCCCCATAGTAAATTTTCTATGGGGGCTGAGCGTAAAAAAAGGGCACTTCAATCTAAATTATCATCATAAATAAATATTTATACAGGGTGTCCCAAAAAGATACCGACAAACTTTATGGGGTAGTGAGGGACATCAAAACAAGCATTTTTGTTTATATAAACATGTATCCGCAAATGAGCCGTTTGGGCTGTAGAGCAAAAAAACTATTTAAATCATACCCAAATGATTGAAGACATTTTTTACTCGGTTTTCTATTTAGTTGGCCACCAGCATGATTGCTAAACATTTGTGGTCGCTATTTTGTTTATTTTTAAAGATGCAAAAACATTTCTTTATCAAAAACATTTCGAAAATTCCTACCTTGGGATCATCGTATATATTTATATGTTATTTTTCATAGAATAGGTATTTTTAATTGATTGAGTCCTTTATCTATTTAGAAAATCAAAAAAATTGTCCGAGACCCGATTTTTAAACCATAAAAAAAAAAAAAAAAATTACCAAGTCTACATACATAGAGGATGTCTGAGGATGACATTAAAAACGAAATAGAAGAATCAGATATTGAATTGATAGATCCAAATAAAGGAATATTTATAAAGGAAAAAGAACATTCGAGTGACATCAATTTATCAAGACAAGTTATTGGGAAGTTTCAATGTTACACTTGCAATGCTACATTTAAATCCAAATCAAATTTGAAACATCATTTAATAACACATTTCGATATTTGTTCTTTCGAATGTAACACTTACAAAGCGGAAAAAAATGAGTTACAGCGTCACATATCAACACTCTCGGATATTTTTCCTTTTAAATGTGACACTGGTAAGAAAATACCTAAAGGAAAAGGTAATTTGAACGCACACATATTAACAGAAGAGACACAAACTAACACACTTGGACGAGAAGAATTTTAAATGCAACATATGCAATGCAAAATTTAAAGAAAAATTTAAATCAGCAAAATTTAAACAAAAAGGTAATTTGAAAAGTCACATATCAACAGACTTCGATAGTTATCTTTTTGAATGTGACATTTGCAAAGCAAAATTCAAAAGAAAAGAATGTTCAAACAGACACAAACTAACACAGTCTGATATTTATTCTTTTGAATGTGACACATGCAATGCAAAATTTGAACACAAGCGTGGTTCGAGAAGCCCCATATTAACACACTCGGATGAGGAGAATTTTAAATGTAACATTTGCAATGCAAAATTTAAAAAAAAAAGGCGATTTGAAGGAACACATATTGATACACTTGAATATTCAATTTTTTTGAATGGGACATTTGCAAATCAAAATTTAAACGGAAACGCGATTTGAAGATACACAAACTAACACATTCGGCTATTTATCCATTCGAATGTGACACTTGCAAGGCAAAATTTGAAGAAAAGTAATTTACAAAGGCACATTTCAACACACTCGGATATTTATCCTTTCGAATGTGACACTTGCAAATCAAAATTTAAATGGAAAGCCGATTTAAAGATTCACAAACTAACACATTTGGATATTTATCCACTTGAATGTGACACTTGCAATGCAAAATTTAAGCAAAAACATAATTTGAAAAGCCACATGTTAACACACAGACTGTTTATTATTTGATTCAGTTAATAGTAACATGTGTTTCGCTCCGGGATCCTTGAATTCAGCCACAAAATTCACCAGTTCCGGAATAAGGAAAAGGGTGACAATTTATCAATATGCAAATCGGTACACTGAGATATAGATATTAAATAAACTTATCCAGATCCAAAACTTAGGCTTAAGCATTGAATATAAAAAAAAAAGATTCAGAAATCGGTAAATCGTTACATAATTGTTTCGGATTGATGTTTTTGGAGAATCAAGAAGCTAGCGATTTCTTTGTTTTCGAGTTGTTAGCTATTCAGCCGAATCATGAAGTTCTAGTTGAATTTTCAGATTATCTCATCGACACATGGTACATGCCTCGATAGACCTGGATAAGAAAACAAATGCCTGTGAATCTTTCCATAGTCATTTTGGTAGATCTTTTTATTTTGCACATCAAAATATATATTTACACTTTTTTATATTTATTAACTCATACGCAATGCGAAATCTGTCAACATCATAAGGTAAGTTTTATGGGAAGTAGGTTGGGTTTCATGATTTGGTCGAATTTAAAGGTAGGATTACTGCAGCTACCTGTTTGTGGCCGAATTCAAGTATGCTGTTTCGCTCATACGAGCATCATCGGACCTACAAAATAATATATATAGAAAATAATTAAAATTTGAGAGATTTTTAGGGGGGTCCAGTGACCCCTCCTGACCCTCCCTGTGGGCGCCCTTGATGATAGGTATGTTTAAATCACATAAATATATCATGATGTACCAATACACTGGCTTTTTTTACCTAGTTTATGATGGAAAAAATTTCAAAAATTCGGTGAAGGCGAACCGATGGTCCTATCGAGCTGAAATTTGGTACGAATCTAATGGAGTAGGAGTTTTATCGAAAAAATATACCCGGGGCCCCTATCTGAAAAGCAAAGACCTCTAGGGACCACTAAATTATTATTTTTTTGGCCGATTCGGATGAAATTCGGAATACAGCTGAAAAGGGTCAAGAAAAGTTGATATTCCAAGTTTCAGCCCTCTCTGACCTACCGGAGGAGTTTTAGCCCCTATCCCCTCAATTTTGGAAAGGGGCCTGTAATGATGCATACACGCCCTGCATTTACTTTGCCGAATTTTGGATAATGAAAAATACCACCGGATAGAGGAGCCAAAAATACGTGGAAAATGTCTCTTGGTGTTTTTTGCTCCGACGCTTCGTGAGCCCGAAAAAAAAAAAAAAGATTTTGCTCCAGGAAAATTTTGGGGACCCGACACGGCGCCTTTTGAATTGAGTCGTCGAGCTGCAAGGTCGATCGGCTGAAAATTTCCATCTTCTCAAGACAACCGTGCCGTAGAAAAAAAAAGTACTTTATCGGCCTTCAGGCATTGTACCTTATCTTAACAAAATTAGGTTGCGTAAAGGCAATAATCTATTGATTGCAAAAAAATTTGAATCGAAAAGTCTTGTGATTACCATTTAATTTAAGTTTGAATTTCAACCCACGTTTTTAATTTTTTTTTTTAAGTAATAGCATTTCAAGAAATGCCTTATTACTTAGGGTCTTTCGGAGAACCGTTTTTCTCAACAAGTCCATTCCAAAAAAGGCCACTTTTTTAATAGAACACCATTTCGTGTGTGACATAGAATTTTTGAAGGGAATCTTACCCTACAAAAATCAAGACCTTCACAAGTCGATACGTGTGCCCCACATTTGACGACGATTTTAGTCCCTTCTCGCTGAGGGCGAACCGATGGTTCTATAGAGCTGAAATTTGGTAAGAATCTAATGGAGTACAAGTTTTATCGAAAAAAATATACGGTGGGGGGGGGGGGGGGGAAGCAAAGCCCCCTGGGGACCACTAATTATTATTTTTTTGCCGATTCGGGTGAAATTTGGAATATAGGTGAAAGGGGTCCACAAAAATTGATATTCCAAGTTTCAGCCCTCTCCGACCTACCGGAGGGGTTTTAGCTCCTACCTCCTAATTTTGGAAAAGGGTATGTAATGGTGCATACATGCCCTGCCTTTATTTTTCCGAATTTTGAAAAATAAAATTGGAAGTATTGAACGGAGCAGACTAGGTCCAGTGCAAACTACCTTTAATGGGAAACGCCCTTCTAGACCTGTCTCAAACCTAGCTTCTTCAGGGAGCATTAAACG